TGTGGGAGCCTAACCCGTCTCCTTGGTGCCTCTCGGATCCTGAGTCCCGTTCCTCCCTGGAACCACACTGACCTCCCTGACTCCCAGACCATGGTGGCTCTCGGACTGGCAGTCAGTAGGCACTAGCGATGCCGGAAATGGACAGGACTCTTCAGGGGACCTCAAAACCAGGGGAGTTAGCACCTCCAAGCCTCCAGCTGGATGAGAGGTGCCCGTTGGGGCCCCGACAAGATTTGGGAGGCAGATTCCCTTGCCTTGGGCAGGAAGGAAAGGGAGCCAGAGCCAGCCAGCCTTTGAGGGGCCCCTTTGATGCCTTGCCGGAGGAGAGTTGTCGTAATTGGGAAATAATTAGCAACCGCTATGTGGCCTCCACGCGCCTCTGCACCCCTTCTTTCATCCTGGATGTTGGGGAGTCGGGGGCTGGCGCTACGGGACTGATTGATAACCCAGCGATTTGCAGGACCCTGAGAGGATTCTGGCTTCCCAGAACCCTTCCTTCCTGCCTTCCCCAGGCGGACCTGCGTGCCTTCGCCTCTGTGGGAGGTCAGAGGGGGATAGGGCTGCTCTTCCTCATGTGGGGGAGGGGAGAGCTAAGGTCCAGGGAGGAGGCTGAGATAAAAACGTGGGATCAGGAATGCCCCTTTGGGGACCTGAGAGGGAGGAGTAGAGAGAGGCAGTCTTCCTGCCGCACACGGCCCGGCCTTCATCAGGTGTTCAGTGCATCTGCTCCTCCCGCCCGTTCCCTCTCTGCATTCTGCCTCTTCCTTCAGAGCCTGGGCCTTGGCGTCTCTGCGAGATAAGAGCCCTGCCTGTGGGTTTTGCCCCTCAGCCTCCTCTGTGGTGTGGAGTAATGTAGGTCTGCCTTCCTCCACTGCCAGTGGAGTCTCCCTGGCCCTCGCTTTCCTTTTGCCTCTCAAACCAGTCCAGCCAGTTTGCAGGGGCCCAGTTCCTCATTGTGTTTTTTTTCCCCCCCTACACTGGCCAAGCAGCTCTAGCCTGGCTCTCAGGTTTCGGCCTTTTTAAGTGGACCGAACCAGGAGTCCACTTGCAGGATTCTTTCTGGATTCACAGGGAACCTCCTTATCTCTCCGCATACACCAGGAGAACGTCGGAGCTGAATGACCAAGGTCACGGAGCTATGTCCTTGGCTATGTTGGCCATTTGCTTTCCTTGTTACTTCCGAGGGGAGTCTAATCTCTATTCCAGTTCTCCCATTTTCTAAATGGGCTAACTCTGTACCATCTCGCTTATTCCCCAGCCCTGGTATATGGGATGCAAAGTCTCTGCATTCCGAACCACCCCACCCCCACTTCCGGCCAGTAGGGCAGAGACCCTGTCACTCCTTGTTGGGAGCCAGACGCTGTGGCTGGGCCAGAGGGGATGGAATTGGGGCAGGGCAGGCTAATGAGTAACTCGGGGGGGAAGTGGCTGTTTGGTACCAGGGCAGTGCCCTTCTCCTCCATGCAGACCGGAAGGACAGAGGCAGACCCATGAAGCTTGAGGCCTGGTCTCTTCCCAGAGGACAGTGGGTGAGGAACGCCTGGGGCCCAGGCCAGGGGCGGGAAAAGCAGGGCCAGGCCTCTATCTGGTGAGAGTGAAGGCTCTGCCCTCTATCCATGTTGCCTGGCGCCAGATCACTGTTTACCTGCCTCTGGGGCTTACGCAAGGCTCTGGAGCTGCCCAGTGCCCTGGCCCCGCCCCGCCGTCCTCTGTAACCGAAGGCGGATAGGTTTCGGGTTTTCCGTGTTGAATCATTTAGAGCCCTGCGTTCTGACCCAGCCCAGAGATTCCTTCAGCCCTCCTGGCCCCTGACCTGTCACATGTTCCGGGACTGGAGGTGTGAGAGGCGAGGGAGTCGCTGGGGCCTGAGGGTGCGGCTCAGGCTGCCTCCCAACAACTTGGGGCTCTGAGCAGCGAGGGGCTGTGCACTGTATCGAGCCAAGCCTGGGAACTTTGTGACCTGGATCTGGACGATCAGGAGATGGATGTCCTGGCAGGGTAGAGCTGTACGATGAATAAATCATGTGAGTTCTGAGAGTTGGCCATCTAGGCACATCTGGTTCCAAAATTATGGCGGAGTGGAGCAAGGAGACCAGGCCAGGAAGAGGTTTTGCTCCGAGGGCAGACGAGCAATGGCTCTGAGGAACCTTCGGGCAAACCCCTCTGCTGTGGAGGCTGCCTTGGTTCAGTATACAACCTTGAACAAGTCGTTACCCACATCTACCATGTGACAGATCCTGGGGACACAGGAGTCAGCAAGAGCCATGTTCTTTTGCCTTCAGGAGTCTACAGACTGGTGGGGGGACAGACGGGAAACAGTGAATCGCTGTGTTAAATACATAAAAGTGAGCTGAGGCAGACTCATTGAAGGACACCGGTGGAGCAGATAGCATGGTTCTGAGCTAGTCTGTGAGGAGTGGTTAGGGAAGGCTGTTCTGAGGGAGTGACACCCATTTGTGAGCCAGGTGACGCCAAGCAGTCCTGTTGGAAGGACCAACGTGTGCGGAGGCCACTGTGTTGTCGGCTCTGTGACAGGCATATGCTGCTATGGGGCGAACTCATGTTTAATATCTCAACGTTTTTATTCAAGCAGACCTAAGTAAATAAAGCACAAAAAATAGTGAGTGTATAATGATACGTTTTTACAGTTGTATATACCTATGGAATTATTGTCTATACCTCATGCGGTATTATCTCTATACCTATTTTAAAGATGAGGAAACTGAGACTGGGAAAAGTTGTGATTGGCCCAAGGTTATATAAATCGGTAAAGAGCAGACCTAGGATTCCAGGCCAGATTCTGACTCTAGTCCACTGCCTTTTCTACTGGATGAGTGGTTTGGAAAACGTGTCCCTTTGCCTTGTGGCTTCTTCTCTTATTTCATTTCTTTCTTCCTTTTTTTTTTTTTTAATATACTTTATTAATTTTTTACAGAGAGGAAGAGAGAGGGAAAGAGAGTTAGAAACATTGATGAGGGAGAAACATCGATCAGCTGCCTCCTGCACACCCCTCACTGGGGATGTACCTGCAACCAAGGTACATACCCTTGACCAAGAATCGTACCTGGGACCCCTCAGTCCCCAGGCCAATGCTGTATCCACTGAGCCAAACCGGTCAGGCCCGATTCCATATCTTACTTGAACTCCATCCAACACAGGGCCCTGAGATTCCATATCTTACTTGAACTCCATCCAACACAGGGCCCTGAGATTCCATATCTTACTTGAATTCCAATATCTGAGTCAGATAAGACCTTGATGCCTGAAGCTTGGGGCCCTGGGGCTCATTGATGGACTTGAAGGTGTTCATGTGAACCTCGAGATTCTGTGGTGAAGTTTGGGTGGGCTGTCTCCTGGGGAGGAAGGTGGGGGCGCGATAGGGTATTGCTTTCATTATGTTCTCTTATGAAGTCTCAACACTGAAAAGGTGTTGAGGTTTATTTTCCCCCCAGTAAGGGGCTCCTCCCTCCCAGTTCCTTTCTCTGGTGGGGAAGGGCCTGGAATGCTAGGAATGCTCTTCCTTCTGCAGGAGACTCCCTCCCTCCAAGCCCTTCCTCACCTGGAGGATGGCCCTACCTTCTCTCCCAATGTCCTGGGCCTCCCGGCCCTTCTCCCAGCCCCGGAGAGCCCTTGCCAAGTTTCCTTGGCCCAGAACTCCCCTGGGAGGTGGAGCCGGGTCTGTTTGTGTCTTTGTCTGGCACGTTAGAGGCCCCTCCTCCGGTTTGGTGCAAGGCTCTGGTGGAGATTAGCAGACGCTGGAGTTCTTATTCACTGCTCCGCCCCGAGTTCCGGGAGCCGGAGCGCACCTGCAGGACATTCCATTCGCTGACTCTGAGCTTGGGCAATGTGGACAGGGCAGCTGGCTGTGGGTGGGCTTGGCTCTGGCCCTCAGGCGGACAAGTCTGCCTGTCCTGAGGCCCCTTGGACTGGCACTCGCACATGTCATCATTATTTTTAAAATATATTTTATTTATTAAAAAAAAGATATATATATATATATTATTGATTTTTTAACAGAGAGGAAGGGAGAGAGATAGGGAGCTAGAAACATCGATGAGAGAGAAACATCGACCAGCTGCCTCTTGCACACCCCCTATCAGGGATGTACCCGCAGCCAAAGTACATGCCCCTGATCGGAATCGAACCCGGGACCTTTCAGTCCGCAAGCCGACGCTCTATCCACTGAGCCAAACCTGTTCCGGCTTTTATTGATTTTTTACAGAGAGGAAGGGAGGAGAGAGAGTTAGGAACATCGATGAGAGAGAAACATCCATCAGCTGCCTCCTGCACACCTGCTACTGGGGATGTGTCCGCAACCAAGGTACATACCCTTGACTGAAATCAAATCTGGGACCCTTGAGTCTGCAGGCCGACGCTCTATCCACTGAGCCAAACCAGTTAGGGCTCTCACATGTTATTTACATTTGTTGTTTTTGTTGTGTGTTGTTGTTGTTTGTTGTTGTTACTTTTTTTTTTTTTTTTTTTGATTAGGCAACACATCTGAATGGTTCCAAATTCAAAAGGGACAAAGAGAGATACACAATAGAAAGCCAGTCGCATACCCATCCCATGTCTCTAGCTCTCAGTACTCCCAATCCAGATACATCACTGCTGTCAGGTTGGGCATCCCAGAAACGGGCCAGAAAACCTCGGGGTTCTCCTGCTTTTGAAATGAGCTGAAGGCCTGGAGGCCCCACTCTTCCATGCGGATGGAGGTGTCTGTTAGGCAGGGCTTGTGAGAAACGGAAATAAATCTTCAAGCCTCACCCCAGACCTACCGAGTCAGACACTCTGGGAGTGCGTCCAGGGGTGTGTGTTTGCATAGGTCTCTGGGAGGCTTCTGCTGCTCAGGTCCGGTGTGAGAACCACTGTCTTACTCAGAAGGAACGGACAGGACCGCCCCTCTCCCAACAGTCGGGGAGAGGAGGTTTCTGGGTGTCCGCTGACATGCTCTCCTTCGTCTTCCAGGACCCTTCCCGCCCACGGAGCAGGCCTTCGCCATGGCCCAGCCCCGGAGCCCGGTGGACCACGGAGTCCAGATCCGCTTCATCACAGAGCCAGCGGGCACCCCGGAGGCGGGCACCCTGCGCCACGCGGGGCGACGCCCAACCAAGGATGCGAGAGCCAGCAGCTATGGGGTCGCCGTGCGTGTGCAGGGCATCGCCGGGCAGCCCTTCGTGGTGCTCAACAGCGGGGAGAAAGGGGGCGACTCTTTCGGGGTCCAAATCAAGGGGGCCAACAGCCGAGGGGCCCCGGGAGCCCTGAGCCCCGACCCGGAGTTCCCTGAGGGCGCCTACTCTCGGGCCAGGGAGCCGCCTGGCCGCCGCCTGCAGGACAGCATGTCCGACGAGGAGCCGGGGGGCCCCTGGAACGGACGGCTCCTGCGCTCCCAGTCCCAGGCCTCGCTGACGGGCCTGGCCCCTATGGGTCCGGGCCACAGGAGCACCAGCATGCTGGAGCTGGCCCCCCACGAAGCTCCCCCAGGGAGCACCATTGACACGGCTCCCCTGTCCTCCGTGGACTCCCTCATCAGCAAGTTTGACAGTCGCCAGGGGGGCCAGGCCCGGGGCCGGACCGGCCGCCGCATGCGTTCCGTGGCCCCCGAGCAGCGCAAGCGGAGCCAGAGCCTGGACAACCGGCTCCCGCGGGACCCCCTGGAGCAGCGGGAGCGCAGGTCCCCCAGCCCCTGGGGCCACAGCGGGAAGCGTGAGGACCACGGGGGCGGCTTGAGACAGCCGGCGCAGAGCCAGAACGCGCCCGGAGGGTTCAGCCGTTCCCGCCAGACCCAGGACTGGGTCCTCCAGAGTTTCGAGGAGCCTCGAGGGAGGACCCAGGACCCCGCCATGCTGCAGGTCAGACCCCTCCTCTCTGCCCCCAAACCCTGGCCCCTTCTCGGCAGCCCTGACCCAGGCCCTGGGGCCCCTTGCTGGTTCAAAGGACCGAGGGCGGGACGTTTCTACCTTTTGTCTTCCATCTTTTCCATCCACGTGGACAGATGGCCAGGGGCACAATCAGAAAGGAAACGGAGAGCCGAGCCCGGTGTGACTCAGTGGATAGAGTGTCGGCCTTAAGAGTGAAAGGTCCCGGGTTTGATTCCCGTCAAGGGCATGTGCCTTGGCTCTGGGCACATCCCCAGTAGGAGGTGTGCAAGAGGCAGCTGATCGATGATTCTCTCATCAATGTTTTTAACTCTCTCTCCCTCTCTCTTCCTCTCTGTAAAAAAATCAATAAAATATATTAAAAAAAAAAAAAAACATAGAAAGAAAACAGAGCTAACTGTAACATCACCGTTCCCAAGCATAGATCAAGACCTTCTGTGCCTCGGTCACTGGCATTGGCTAGGGCGGCGGGTGCAGGAGGCAGGCTCGGAGGATAGGTGCTCTTGCCAAAACTTCCACCGCTGTCTCCCACCCATGAGCGGGGGAGTGATTTTTGCCTTGCAACAAAGTGAAGCCCATTCTCATAGTAAATCGTTTACATACGCTGACACATTAACTGTCATTGGTGCAGAATTACTGGTGGCACAGCTCACTGCGGGTTGGGTTCTCCTTGTTGAGGAAAAGCTGGTTTGCAACAGTAGGGAGAGGAGTATCCTGCGTGGCCCGCTCCCTGGTCTGTGGCTCGGGCCTCAGTGGTCTTGCCACCTCTTTACCTGACGTTCATGCTTGAAGGGCCTTGTCTCCTCATGGCCACGCCTGGCCCGTCGGAAACTTACACTGGCCTCTGGCTTAATATTCCTATGTCTTAGGGTTCACTCTTTTTTCGCAGTTCAAATCCACTCCAGACCTTCTCCGGGACCAGCAGGAGGCAACTCCACCGGGCGGTGTGGACCACGTGAAGGCCACCATCTACGGCATCCTGAGGGAGGGGTGAGTGGGACCCCCCTTCTTTTCCTTCTAGCTTCCTTCCCCACCCCCATGCTCTTTATCCTAACTCCCCCCCTCTCTGCCACCTCTCCCCTCCCCTCACCTTTGCGTCTGCCCTTTCATCCCCCAAGGAGCTCAGAGAGTGAGACATCGGTGAGGAGGAAGGTCAGTTTGGTGCTGGAGCAGGTGCAGCCTCTGGTGGTGAGTGGCCTTCTCGTGGTTGGGAGCAAGGGTCAGGGTCAGGGTCAGGGCCTCTTGGACGTGGGCTCACTTCCTTCCCCACCGTGTCTCCGGCAGATGGCTGCTCCGGCTTCTGCTAAGTCCCTGGCAGGGCAGGGCGAACTCACCCGGAAAGTGGAGGAGCTACAGCAGAAGCTGGACGAAGAGGTGAAGGTGAGGAGAGGGTAGAGGCACAGGAGGGAGGAAGAACCACTGAGGGGAAAACCTTAACCTGGGCTGGCTCCTCCAAGGCCTGGGAGAAGCGCTCATGTGTCCTGCGAGACAAGAGTGTGTGCTAGCCCTAACCGGTCTGGCTAAGTGGATAGAGCCTGCGGACTCAAGGGTCCCAGGTTCGATTCCAGGCAAGGGCATGTACCTTGGTTACGGGCACATCCCCAGAAGGGGGTGTGCAGGAGGCAGCAGGCCGATGTTTCTCTCTCATCGATGTTTCTAACTCTTTCTCCCTCTCCCTTTCTCTCTGTAAAAAAATCAATAAAATATATTAAAAAAGAAAGAAAGAAAGAAAAAAAAAGAAAAAAAAAAAGAGTGTGTGCTAGTCCCAGCAAGGATTTCTGGGCTTCCCTAGCGCTTAGACAGGAAGAGCACATTCATCAGGAGTCCAGCTACTTTTCATTCCATTTCCTCTGGCAGTTCCCATCCTGGCTCTACCACTTAACTGGCTGCATAAATCTTGAGCAAATTACTTACCGCAGTTCTTTTCATCGTCGTCATAATGATGGTGGGAATGGTAGCTGTCATGTATTAAGTGTAATTTTTGTAGTAGGTGCCCTCCTGGCTCCTATGTAATAATTACAGTGACCCTGTAAAGTAGGCAGCCTGGGCTTCTTTTTATGGTGAGAAAATGGAAGGTCAAAGGGGTTAAGTGAATTGCTCAAGGTAGTAAGTTGCAGAGAAGACATTTAAAATCTCAAGTTAATGTATTCTAACGTCTGTGTACTCCCCCTGTCCCCCCTCAAAAAAAAAAAAAAAATACTGCTTCTAACTTTTCCAGTAGTGCCTGTATGCTGTTGGTGCTCAGTAAGTGGTGGGTTGTAACTCCCTTTGTTTTCTGTTCAGTGTCGGAGTTAAGTGGTGAGCTGCGGGTCAAACTACCAGTTTAAATCCCGGTACCCTCCGTGGTTGAGCTTTGTAACACCCCGGGCAAGTTCTTGAACTGTTCTAAGCCTCCACGACCTTGACTGTCAAGTGGGGATCACAATAGGAGGGTATCAGTGATCTACTGTTGTGTACTAAGTTACCGCAAAGCTGAACAGCTTCATGCAACATCTCCCAGAATTGTCTGAGGGCCAGCATTTGGGAGCAGCTTAGCTGGGCAGTGCTGGCTCAGAGTCTTTTGTACTTGAGGTTCCATTCAAGGTATTGACTGGGGCTACAGTTATTGGAAGAGTTGACTGGAACTAGAGGATCTACATCTAAAATGGGCTTCTGTGGCTGGTGGTTGGTGGCCTCGGTTCCTTGCTGTGTGGACCTCTTCGTAGGGTTGCTTGAGCGTCCCTACAATAAGTCAACTGCCTTTCCCCGGAGCGAGTGACATAAGAGAGAAGGAAGCAGCCATGCCTTTGTGTGACCCAGTCTCAGCAACTACATGTCATTCCCCCCTTTTCCTACTTGTTAGGAGAGAGTCCCTAAGCCCGGCCCATGCTCAAGGGCAGAAGCTTCTCTGTTTGAAAGGAATGTAAAAAAAAAAATGTGTGATGTGTTTTAAGCCATCACACACACCAAGGCTTATTCTGAGGATTAAGTGCGGACAATCTGCATGCGTCCCCCTGGTACAGAGCCTGTTGTACAGTGAGTGTCAATAAATGTTAGAATTCCCATCATTCCCGGTGCTTCTCAGAGGCTTTCCCTGCTCTGCACCCGCTTTCCTTTCCTTTTCAGAAACGGCAGAAACTGGAGCCGACCCGGGTTGGGCTGGAGCGGCAGCTGGAGGAGAAGGCGGAAGAGTGCAGCCGTCTGCAGGCGCTTCTGGAGAGGAGGATGGGGGAGGCCCAGCAGAGCACTAAGGAGTGAGTGCATGGGAGGGTTGGGGAGGCTGTATGGGGCAGTGGTTGGAGTTAGAGGCTGCCTGTGGGCAAAGGGAGACAGGGAATTCTCCAGAAGCTGAAAGGGGCTGGCAGCCGAAGCTGGTTTGGCCCAGTGGTAGAGCATCAGTCTGCGGACTAAAAGGTCCCAGGTTCGATTCCTGTCAGGGGCATGTATATTGGTTGCGGGCACATCCCCGGTAGGGGGTGTGCAAGAGGCAGCTGGTCGGTGTTTCTCTTTCATTGATGTTTCTAGCTCTCTATCTCTCTCCCTTCCTCTCTGTAAAAAAATCAATAAAATATAAAAAAAAAAAAAAAAGAAAGAAAGAAAGAAAGAAAGAAAGAAAGAAAGAAAGAAAGAAAGAAAGAAAGAAAGAAAGAAAGAAAAAACGGGGCTGGCAGAGATGGTGTAAAGATAGGTATGAGTGACCTCTTTCTTCCCCTTCTCTATCGGTAATGGTGATGGCGCATGCGTTAGGGTACCTGGTTTGCCTCTCTGCCTCAGGCTTTTCACCTGTAAAATGGGGTCAATGATAGTACCTCCCAGGATTGTTGTGAGGATTCAGACATTCATTCAACAGATGTTTCTGCAATGGATGCCGTGTGATGCATTGATCTAGAGTCCTGAGGTACATCAGTGAACCACAAAGAGGAAGAGCCCTGCTCTTCAGAAATGGTTTTCTAGTGAGAGGTAACAAACTGTAAACAATAAATATATTCTTAAAAAAAAAAAAAAAAATATATATATATATATATATATATATATATATATATATATATATAATTTTTTTTTACAGAGAGGAAGGGAGAGGGACAGAGAGCAGAAACATTGATGAGAGAGAAACATCGATGAGCTGCCTCCTGCACACCCCCCACTGGGGATGTGCCCGCAACCAAGGTACATGCCCTTGACCAGAATCGAACCTGGGACACTACAGTCCACAGGCCAGTGCTCTATCCATTGAGCCAAATTATCTAGGGCAATAAATATATTCTTAAGTAAAATTTTCATATGTGAGAAGTAGAGTAAGTTATAGCAGATCAGAAGGGCCAGGTTATGGGAGCAGGTTACAGTATTAAATAAGGTATTTAGGGGAGGTATTTGTTGTTGTTAATCCTCACCTGAGGATATTTTTTTCCATTGATTTTTTAAAGAGAGTGGATGGAGGGAGGGAGAGAGGGAGAGAGAGAAACATCCATGTGAGAGAGACACATTGTTGATGGCCTCCCACACGTGCTCCAACCAGGCCAGGAACTGAACCCATAACCCAGGTCCTCGCACTTAACTGGGAATGGAACCCTTCAGTCTGCAGGCCAACACTAACCATTGTGCACACCGGCCAGGGCTAGTCGAGTTCTTGTTAAGATTTGGACAAAGACTTGGAGTTTTCAATGAAATCATAGATGTAAAGTGTTTAGAAAACTCTCTGACACGTAGTGCTCAACAATGTGGTCTGTTGTTCACGATCAGGCTCCAGAACATGAAACTCCTCCTGGACCAGGGTGAGAGGGTACGACAGGGGCTGCAGACCCAGGTGATGGAGCTGCAGGACAAGCTGAAACAGGCCCAAGGTCCTGAGCCTGCGAAGGAAGTGCTGATGAAGGTAGGGAGGTGGGCTGCGATCCCCAGCCCCTGCTTCCTTTCAACTAGAGCAGTGTTTCCCAAAGTGTGGTACGCGTACCCCCAGGGGTACGGAAAGAGTTTGGTGGGGGTACGTGTTGCACCGGAGTTTGGTGGGGATATGCACTGCACCGTGCTTAGCTGCGCCTAATTCTATGTTCTCATGAGTACGAGGGGTACTCAGCGTTACGAAAATTATAGAAGGGGCACACATATGTCAAAAGTTTGGGAAACACTGAACTAGAGTATCCTCAAAGTATGGGGGTACTCCTCAGTGTGCTCTCAGACAGACCTAACAGAGCCCAGAACGGTGGGTTCCCCTTAAGCCTCTTGAAGGTCATGGAGCACCTGGGACCATGCCTAACAGATGATAGGCACTTAGCAAAAACGTTGTGATGGACGGAATGAATGTCTAGGCAGGTGGCTCCTCACAGGTGGTCATCTCTGTACTGGCACTTTCGCTTTCCCAGGACCTGCTAGAGACCCGGGAACTTCTCGAAGAGGTCTTGGAGGGGAAGCAGCGGGTGGAGGAGCAGCTGAGGCTGAGGGAGCGGGAACTGACGGCCCTGAAGGGGGCCCTGAAGGAGGAGGTGGCCTCCCGGGACCAGGAGGTGGAGAGCGTCCGGCAGCAGTACCAGCGAGACGCGGAGCAGCTTCGCCGGAGCATGCAAGATGCAACCCAGGCACGTGGCAAGAGCAGGGCCTGGGAAGGGCGCTACCCGGAGGTCTTGGGTATTTTTAGACTCTTCGTGGTTGTGATGGGACTCCCCCAAAAAGACACACGGGAGATGGAATGAAAACCCGGTTCAGGAAACCTATGTTGGCAGAAGAGGGGCGTGCGGGTCAGAAGTACAGAGGGTGTGCAGTCAAAGCTCCGTGTAGATCAGGGATGGGGAACGCCTGGCCCGTGGGCCATGTAAGTCCCGCGAAATCATTTGGTCTGGCCCCACCGAGGTATTAGGAGTGAGTTAATTAAATGTTTGACCAAATATAGCAGGCTGATATTTAAGTTGATCATTTTGTACGGCACGTGAATGATATTGTGCCATATCCAAATAGTTATTGTCAGAAAAAAGGTTCCCCACCCCTGCTGTAGATGATGGAGGGGTGTAGATAATGACTTGGGGTGAGAACCTTCCCTTGGGGGTTTCACCGGGTGTCGGGGTATGCACCCTCTAGGCCCGAGCCTGCCCTTCTGCACGCTCACTGGTTTGACGTGAACTCTCCCGTCTAAGCCTTCTGGTCCTCTGACTCTCCCCTTCCCCAGGACCACGCAGCGTTAGAGGCTGAGAAGCAGAGGATGTCGGCCCTGGTGCGGGGGCTGCAGAGGGAGCTGGAGGAGACCTCGGAGGAGACAGGGCATTGGCAGAACATGTTCCAGAAGAACAAGGAGGAGCTCAGAGCCACCAAGCAAGAGTAAGGACCGTGCCCCTCTCTCAGGAATACATATCCGTGATTCCCATCCACATCGCACTTCCTTCCCACTCATGTGGCGCTCTCTGCTTCTCAAACTGCTATTTTTTATATCCAGCTTCCTCCCTCCTGAGACTGGGCACTCAGTGCATTAGCCTCCAGGAAGGTGGTTTTCATTGTGCTGCCAACCTCTCCCAGGCAGGTGGCCTGACCCTGTCCCTTTTCCCTTTCGATTCACCTGTCTGGGCTCAGACTCATGCAGCTGCGGATGGAGAAGGAGGAGATGGAAGAGGAGCTCGGGGAGAAGATAGATGCCTTGCACAGGGAATTAGGGCAGGCCCGAGCCGGTGCTGGAGATTCTCGCCAGGCAGAGGAGCTCAAGAAGGTATCTGGGCGTTGGGGGCAGAAGGGAGGGTTGGGGTGTTAGGAGCCTGCCTCATCTATCCATGAGGGTCCCCACATGAGTGTGGCTGTCTCCCTCGTGCTTGGTTTGCAGGCCCCATCCTGCCTGCCCAGCCTTATTTCGTCCCAGTCTTTGACCCAGCGGGGCTGGCTGGTCTCACTGAGTATAGAAGTTTCTAGAGGAAAGGGCTCTCAGTGGCCAGGCTGAATAATATATTAAGAGGCTGCTGGCTGCTTCCTAGGAGACCTCATGCGTAGTGGCATTTAGGTGGATTCGAGAAACTTCAGGGTCATTTTTTTTGCAAGTTTGGAAACCTAACTTGGTCACATAACAAGAGCGGCTCTGTCTCTCAGAGGGTACTCATTAACTGTATTTGTCAAACAAACGTCAGAGCATCCGTTTATTGATTTACAATGAGAGTACTGGACTGGAATACTTGCATTGACACGGCCAGCTGACCTACATGGGAAGCCACGTGGCAATTTGAAAGCTGCGTAGAATAGAGAATCTAGGCGTAGAATTACATGTTTTATCATATATGATATTTTATAAATGTTAAGGGCATAAAATTGAAGTAAACACAAATCATTTTTTTTTTCCACATTCCTAGAACTAGTTTGTAAAGGATAAGAAAGCAACTCATTGTTTTGGGTGCTTTAGAAACTTAGAAAAGATTTTCATTAATTCTAGGGAAATGACATTTATGGCCTCCTGAGTTTCCTTGTAGGTCTACATACACTATGCAGGCTTCAAATGCTATACAAGCAGGTGCTCAGGTACTAAGTATTAATTAATCAATGCTTACACATCATGCCTTTACCATAAGACTGCTTAATTGTAATCAAGGTAATCATATTTTTAAAGGATAATTCTCCAGGTACATAAATGCCTGAGCTTACCATAAAATATTTGGTGGAGAAATACATAATAAAGATTAACCAAATATATTTGGTGGTTATGAAATCAAAAGTACTCTTACATTTTTAAGATATTTAATTTAAAATATTGTTATGGCCCTAACTGGTTTGGCTCAGTGGATAGAGCATCGGCCTGCAGACTGAAGAATTCCAGGTTCGATTCCAATCAAGGGCATGTGCCTTGGTTGCGGGCACATTCCCAGTAAGGGGTGTGCAGGAGGCAGCTGATGGATGTTTCTTTCTCATCAATGTTTCTAACTCTCTATCCCTCTCCCTTCCTCTCTGTAAAAAAAAAAAAATCAATAAAATATATTTAAAAAAAGTAAAATATTGTTATGAAGTGAACAAGTATCAAGGATAGTCTAAAATCTGTTCATTATATTAGTTGACATAGTGAACCTGGGCATTCCTTTCGACACTCTCAATTCATACATTATGCTGGATAAAGCTAAAAAGCAATACCTAGTATTTAACTTACCTTATACATTAAGTATATTTTATCAAGTATGTAGCCAATAAACAAAGTATACATTAGGAAAACAATCCAATATACACCAATAGACAACATGCTATTTTTCTTTTTCTTTGTAATTAGTTTCTCATATTGAAGACTTATATAACCTTCCAGCCTAATTGCAGTATTGTCTGAAGTTGCTAGTAACTAATGAATTAGAACCAGAGATCATGTTTTAATTTTTTTAAAAAAGAAATCAGGGCAGCACCAGTAGATATGTGCCACATATTTTGGTTTTCAAAGTATTTTTTTTTTTAACAGAGAATCTTTTTTTATCCATACCCTCATCTAGTCTCATTCCACATAAAGTATAATTTTTTAAAAATATACTTTATGATTCTTTACAGAGAGGAAGGGAGAGGGATAGAGAGCTAGAAACATTGATGAGAAAGAAACATCGACCAGCTGCCTCCTGCACACCCTGTACTAGGTATGTGCCTGCAATCAAGGTACACGCCCTTGACCAGAATTGAACCTGGGACCCTTGAGTCCACAGGCCTGGCGCTCTATCCACTGAGCCAAACCAGTTAGGGCCCTGCACACGTGTTTAACGTAAGTGTTTTCGATGCTCTTGGGCATACACGGGGCGTGGCAAAAGTAGGTTTCCAGTTGTTCCTATGGAAAAGATGCAATGCTTGGTAAATAATAATGCAAGAATACACTCTGGTGTTGCACATACACCTGTGAACCTACTGTTGCCATACCCTGTGTGTGTGTTTTTGCAATTTCTGGGTCCTGCGGTAACCCCATGGCTCGCTTTTTGAGGAACCACAAACCACTTTCCCGAGCAGCCACACCAACTGACACTCCCTCCATCCCGCAATGCATGGGAGTTCAGTTTCCCCACATCCCGGCATCCCGGCTGGCCTTCTGGTCCTACTGCCATGCCCCTGCCCTCCCAGGAGCTGCGGCGGACACAGGAGGAACTGAAGGAGCTGCGGGCGGAGCGGCAGAGCCAGGAGGTGGCCGGGCGGCATCGGGAGCGGGAGCTGGAGAAGCAGCTGCGAGCCGAGGCCGACCGAGGCCGGGGGCTGGAGCAGCAGAACGTCCAGCTGCAAAAGACCCTCCAGCAATTGAGGCAGGACTGTGAAGAGGCTTCCAAGGCAAGGGGAGTGGGCACAGGGCTTAGGAGGTGGAGGCGGAGGGGTCTGGAGGGCTGAGGAGCCAGAGGGCCTGCAAAGTTACCTGGCATGGGTACGTACCGACCGGCTCCTTGGTGCTAGGTGTGCGATGGTGGAGGCCGCCAGGATCTGGCACAGGGAGGCCGGGCTGTCTCTGTAGGGGGGTGGGTGTCTCAGGGGAAGCCAGCCTCCGGTTGGCGGCAGCCCCCTCTGGAAGTCCGGGTCTCGTGGCCCCTGTGTGGGGTGCTTTTCTCCCGGGCGTGGACGGGAGCCTTGAGCCGTGGGGTCTGAGCCGCCCCTCTGCACGGCCGCAGGCTCAGATGGCAGCGGAGGCAGAGGCAGCAGTGCTGGGGCAACGTCGGGCAGCAGTGGAGACGACGCTTCGGGAGACCCAGGAGGAGAACGACGAATTCCGAAGGCGCATCCTGGGTCTGGAGCAGCAGCTGAAGGAGGCGCGGGGCCTGGCGGAGGGCGGGGAAGTGGCGGAGGCACGGCTGCGGGACAAGGTGCAGCGGCTCGAGGTCAGTGCCTCCGGGGGACCTTGCTGGCTTCCTGCCAGCCCTTCCTCCTCTCGTCCCTCGCTAACGACTCAGCCATCACTTTTTTTCTTTTCCTTTTCTTTCATATTTTTTATTGATTTTTTTTTACAGAGAGGAAAAGAGAGGGATAGAGAGTTAGAAACATCGATGAAAGAGAATCATTGATCAGCTGCCTCCTGCACACCCCCCACCGAGGATGTGCCCACAAGCAAGGTACATGACCTTGACCGGAATCGAACCTGGGACCCTTCAGTCCACAGGCGATGCTCTATCCACTGAGCCAAACCGGTTTCGGCTTTTTCTTTTTTAAAAATATATTTTTATTGATTTCAGAGAAGAAGCGAGAGGGATAGAGAGATAGAAACATCAATGATGAGAGAGAATCCATCCTTGATTGGCTGCTTCTTGCACGCCCTCCCTACTGGAGATTGAGCCTGTAAGCCAGGCATGTGCCCTTGGCCGGAATCGAACCTGGGACCGACCCTTCAGTCCGCAGGCCGATGCTCTCTCCACTGAGCCAAACCGGGCAGGGCTCAGCCATCACTTTTATTCTGCCCTTCGTGTGTTTCCCTTTGCCTCCAAGCCCTCTGTTCGCCTTGCCGTATTTCCTGGAGTGTGTTTTGGTGTGAACGCCCCAGTCTTTGCAACGGCGTTTTTATCTCTTATCTCCCAACCTTTGCACGTTCTGTGTCTTGATTTTTATTTTTTTCCTACTTCCTCTGAGCCTGTTTTCATGGCTCACCCTTTTCTTCCTCTTCTCTCCCATCTACTCACCTCCACATGGCTAGAGTCCAAGCTTTGCCTTCTCTCGGTCCAATCCCCCTCACCCAGGCAGAGAAGCAGCGGCTAGAGGAGGCCCTGAACGCAGCCCAGGAGGAGGAAGGGAGCCTGGCAGCAGCCAAGCTGGCCCTGGAGGTGCGGCTGGACGAGGCCCAGCGTGGGCTGGCCCGCATGGGGCAGGAGCAGCAGGCACTGAACCGGGCCCTGGAGGACGAGGCGAAGCAGCGGGAGGCGCTGCGGAGGGGCAAGGCGGAGCTGGAAGAGCAGAAGCGCTTGCTGGACAGGACCGTGGACCGACTGAACAAGGAGGTGGGCAGTGGGCAGGGGGCGCCTCGTCTGGGCTCTGGGAGAGGCCCAGCTCCGTCAGAAGCTTGCCTGGGGGGCCGGGGGGATGTGGGTCAGACTGTGTGTTGTCTGCTTTCCCCAAGTTCATTGTTGGGGAGGCCAAGGTCAAATCTGCAGAGAGTGGCATCCTTCCTGCCTCCCCTCAGTGCTTTTGCCCTTCTCCCCACACTCCATTCCTTTATGGTCTTTGATCCTTGGAAATGTCCCCTGGAATTCTCCATTAGAACTCTGTCAGACCTAAGTGTAAGACGCTTCAGTGGGAGAATTTTATATTTGGGGTATCAGAAGGAGGGAGTTAGAAAAGGAATTAAATTGCTCGTTTTCAGCTAAGGTTGTCCTCCTAACCTCTTACATGATAAAACTAGAGCAACCAACTAGTACAGTTCCTCAGTTCTGAAATGTGCATTTTATTATCTCTGAAGTTGAGTTTTGGCTTGTAAGTGATGGTATGTCATAATTCAATCGGCACATGTTTCTTAGTGATAAACCCTTGGAATTTTGGGTTTGCTGAAATAAGGTTTATTGCGTATCCGGCACTGTTGTATGTATTTACGTAGTTAACTAATATAGCTCCCCCAACAACCTTGTGATGTAGGTACTATTATTATTCCATTTCACAGATGGGAAACTGAGATCCAGAGAGGATAAGTGACTTGCCTGTGGTCATATAGCTAAGAGGTGGTAGAGCCAGGATTCGAACCCAGGCAATCTATACATGACTAGTAGCCATGCCAGAGTCCCAGGCCCAGGACAGAGCAAGAAAGGGCTGCTTCTGCAGGAAGGAAGCTCGGGGAGAGTCTTGAGAGCTTGGACCCAGGGAAGAATTGGGTTCTGAGAACATCCTGTTCTGTGTGTCCCAGCTGGAGCAGATGGGGGATGACTCGAAGCAAGCCCTGCAGCAGCTCCAGGCCCAGCTGGAGGATTACAAGGACAAGGCCCGGCGGGAGGTGGCCGATGCCCAGCGCCAGGCCAAGGAGTGGGCCAATGAGGCCGAGAAAACCTCGGGGGGGCTGAACCGGCTTCAGGATGAGGTAGGAGCTGACGTGGCAGGAGGGTGGGAACCCTTCCAGGGTCCTTGGTTTGAAGGTCATTGCCTCTGAACGAAACCTGTGGCCCAGGAATCCTGGGAGACCCGGGTTTAGTGTCTAACCATGTAGAGCAACATACCGAGGTGGGGGAGGGGGGAGGGAGTGGTCTACCCTAGGTACAGACAATAGGGATGCATTGTCTCTAGAGCAGGGATTTTCAAACTCAGATGGATATGAGAGCCACCTGGGAAGGTTTATAAAAATTCCAATGTTTCAAGCTGCATCCTGTACCATTGAAATCATAATCCTTGGGGATCAGTAGTCTTAAAAACTCCTCAGGTGATTCCAGGCTGTGCAGGAAGTTTTTAAACAAGAAACAAGAGGGACTAAAAAAAATCATTTTGCTTTTTATTATCACCATACACTGGCAATTCTAAAAAAAAAAACTGCGGGCTGCTGCCACCCCTCCGTCTTCCCCTTCCTTCTCCGAGCGGCTGCATTTTCCCTCCTGCCCAGACCCAGAGGCTGCGGCAGGCCCTGCAGGACTCCCAGGCGGACCGGGACGCAGCCCGTCTGGACAAGGAGCTGCTGGCCCAGCGGCTGAAGGAGCTGGAGCAAGAGGCCCAGAACAAAAAGCGCTCCCAGGATGACAGGACCCGGCAGTTCAAGGGCCTTGAGGTGGGGACGTGGTGCGGTGGCCTCGTGGTGGTGGGAGGGGGGTGGGGAGAAGGCGGCCTGGGATCTGGCACAGGTGGGAGACCTGTGGTTTTTCTGTTCTCCCAATAGGGTTCTGGGGCTGCCCTATGAGCTGAGGTTTATCATTCTGCTCAGGGGCCAAGGCCAGAGCAGGCCTCACTCTTGCCCCTTGATGCCACACCTGGTCAGCGGAGGGCACAAGCCCTGTGGTGGCTCTGGGCAGGGGCAGAGGCAGAGGCAGAGACCCACAGGCTATGGTGCTGAGTGAGAGAGAAAAGTCTGGAGGCTGGGCTTTGAGAAGGTCCTGATGAGCAGCCTGTTGTCCCTCCCCCACAGGAAAAAGTCTCGCGGCTGGAGGCGGAGCTGGATGAGGAGAGGAACACTGTGGAGCTGCTGACCGACAGGGTGAATCGTGGCCGGGATCAGGTAACCCCTTCCTTCCTCTGCATCAGTGTCTACCTCTCAGCGGAATCTGCGGACTCAGCGTTCAGGGAGCATCCTGCGGTCACTCTGCCTCCCTTGGTTCAACTCGGTGGCTCAGCGTCAGCTTTCCCCAAGTCTGGCTCCTCTCACCCACCCCTAGGTGGACCAGCTAAGGGCAGAGCTCATGCAGGAGAGGTCCGCTCGCCAGGACCTGGAGTGTGACAAGATCTCCCTGGAGAGACAGGTGAGGGGGGTCTTGGGGATGGGTCACGGGAGGCAGGAAGGATGACCTTGGCAGGGATCAGAAGAAGACTTAACTGTGGAGGCTTCATGTCCCTCTCAGAACAAGGACTTGAAGAGCCGGTTGGCCAGCTCCGAAAGCTTCCAGAAGCCCAACTCCAGCCTCTCTCAGCTTGAATCCCAGAACCGGGAGTTGCAGGAGCGGCTGCAGGCCGAAGAGAGGTGAGATGGACCCGAATTTCCTCTCTCCCTCCGGACTCTTCTCCTCTGCTGCTCCCTCCACTTTCTGCTTCCGATGTGGCCAACCTGGCCTGATCTTTTGGGAGGACTTCTTTCTTGATAGAGAACAGAGAGAGAGAGAGTTGCAGAAATTCTAAAATGGGAATGATGTCTATCTCCCCAGTTCTTTGGATCTGCCCTGGGTCCTCCCTGGCCTAATGGTGGGGCTCATGACTGAGAGGTGTCTGTGGGGGCATTAGAAGGCCAAATCGGGGTTAATTTAGAAATGGCATCCCCCTACCCTGCCGCCGCCGTCTTAGGGAGAAGACCGTGTTGCAGTCCACCAACCGGAAACTGGAGCGGAAGGTTAAAGAGCTGTCCATCCAGATTGACGATGAGCGGCAGCATGTCAATGACCAGAAAGACCAGGTAAGGGCCATGGCCCAGGCCACGCAAGGATGCGGCCAGTAGATACTGCGTTTGCCTGAAGGCCAAGGTTGGTCCCATCTCGTGGGTCTTCCAAACGTAGACTTTTCTTATATCAACGCAGAGACGTGACGGAAAGGACTGGATTGTAAGAGTTCTAGGAAGCACATGTGTTCATCAGTGCCTGTGATGTGCTAGCTTCTCTTTCTAAGCATCACACACACACACACACACACACACACACACACACACACACACCACACACCTATTAACTCATTTAATCCCCAGGGCAAACACGAGAGCTTAGGGAACTTGCTCATGGTCACCACATTTTCTGAGGGGCAGTGACCCCTTGACAAGATTGCTACAGCCGAAACCGGTTTGGCTCAGTGGATAGAGCATCGGCCTGCGGACTGAAGGGTCCCAGGTTCAATTCTGGTCAAGGGCATGTACCTTGGTTGCAGGCACATCTCCAGTGGGGGGTGTGCAAGAGGCACCTGATCAATGATTCTCTCTCATTGATGTTTCTAACTCTCTATCCCTCTCTCTTCCTCTCTGTAAAAAAATCAATAAAATTAAAAAAATTTAAAAAAGATTGCTGCAGGGGAGGGTTCCAGGCCGAGTGGCAGCAGATGCTTTTCTGATGTGGGGGCTTGGTCTCCTTCCCAGCTAAGCCTGAAGGTGAAGGCTTTGAAGAGGCAGGTGGATGAGGCCGAAGAGGAAATTGAGCGGCTGGACGGCCTGAGGAAGAAGGCCCAGCGTGAGCTGGAGGAGCAGCATGAGGTCAACGAACAGCTCCAGACCCGGATCAAGGCTCTGGAGAAGGACTCCTGGTAATGGCCGCTTCCCTGCCCCTGCCCCATCGGGATAGTGGAGCCGGAAGGGGGCGGGCTCTCCTGGCTGACCTTGAGGGAGAAGAGGATCTCTCAGATGGGACTTGGAAGCCACTTATTCCTGGCTGGAAGCCTGGATGATTGCCTTTTAGGATCTCAGCCTCTATTCCCTACCCCATCGCCCCAAATCTCTGCTAGGTGGGGGATCTTGGGAGTAGCTTCAGGTCTTAGGAGAATCGGGAGCCTCTTGAGCGTGAAAAGGGTGGCTGTCTCGATCTTTCCACCTTCCTCCATTACCAGTATTCCTCTCTCTGACTCAGGCGCAAAGCTTCCCGCACAGCTGCTGCTGAGTCGGCCCTCCAACACGAAGGGCTGAGCTCCGATGAGGAATTCGACGGTGTGTACGATCCTTCCTCCATCGCATCGCTGCTCACGGAGAGCAACCTGCAGACCAGCTCCTGCTAGCTCGCGGTCCACAAGGCCCAGAGACCACGCTTGAGGCCTGTCCTGGCCAGCCCCGCTTTGTCCTGCCTCAGATCCCTCATTCTTTCGGGAGACACAGTCATTCAGACCGGAGACAGGGAGTGGTGGTGATAAAAGGGTATCCGTGCTGAGGTGGTAGACGGACTTTCCTTTTCTTCTGGAGGAGCGGGTATCTTAGGCCACCTGAGCCCTTACAGCCGCAAGGATGGTCAGCAGACAGGTTGAGGGAGGGAGTGAGCAGGCCAGGAAGGGAGAGAAGTTGCCATGTATATAAAGCTTTATTACTTTCGCCCTTAATCCTCAGGCTCAGGGAAATGCCCTAGGTTATTCCGCCACCTTGATTCCCGTCACCTGCTTTCCTGCCACTCTGGAGCAGGGTGTGGGGAACCGTATGGGTAATGGGCACGCTGGCGTGGCTCTACCTGCTCCTCGATGCTCCTCTTTGCACAGTCATGGGGCCCCTGTGGTAGACCCCCCCCTCGAACCCCACCTCTCAGTCCTATTTTTTTTTATCTTCCCTAAGCAAATGGGTCCAGAAGAGCCTTTCTCCTTCCCTCTTCATCTTCATTCCCAAATCCCTTCTTTCTCCTCAGTGCCTTGGCCACAGCGGGGAGATAAGGATGCTCTTCTTGCCTTTGATACCTGCACATTCATACCTCTCCAAGGACCAGCCTTTTTCCACCCGGGGATTTTTTTTTTTAATAATATATATTTTATTGATTTTTTATAGAGAGGAAGGGAGAGGGATAGAGGGCTAGAAACATCGATGAGAGAGTAACATCGATCAGCTGCCTCCTGCACACCCCCCACTGGGGATGTGCCCGCAACCAAGGTACATGCCCTTGACTGGAATAGAACCTGGGACCTTTCAGTCCACAGGCCGACGCTCTATCCACTGAGCCAAACCGGTTTTGGTGTGTCCAGGGATCTTTCCTACGGTCCCAGTAACTGGTCAGGAGAGCTCCTGGCTTCTCTGCCAATGAGCCCCTCTGAGACGGACTTTGGTGGCGCCATGATGAGATGGTGGGGCCTGGGTCAGGGTTTTCATCCTCTCTCCTCTCCCTCTGTGACTATGGACATGTCTATAAGATGGCCATACCTGGGAACACTGACAGCTGTCAACACAAGTTGACAAACACAAGGTTTCAGCCCTTCCACATGGCCTTGCTTGTGGCTTCTCCGACCCGAGGTGCCCATCCTTACTGGGGAACCGAAGGACCCTTGTCTCAGGAGCTTGGACCTGACACGGGGCTTCCCAATGGGCTAGAGGCCAACTCTTGGTAGAAACGGGAAGAGGCAATGGAGGATCTATTTCCCCTTTGGGCTTTGAGGAGAGCTAAGCTCTGGTGGAGAGGAGCGAGGGAGATGATTCACCTCATTTCTTAAGTCCGCTCTGTGAGGAGCCTGGGGGAAGAAGACTGTTTTCACCAATGACTTGTAATTTCATGATTTTTAAAAAAAAAAAATGTCCTGCAAATCAGATATTTCCTCCCAAACCAATCCAGCCTTGATTTTTTTTTATGTTAAATTAACTATTAAAATTATATATCTATCCTGTAATCCTTGGCGTGTTTTCTCATACTTTTCCCTCACTTACTTGGAGGGCCCCACATTAGGAAGAAACCATTTTATTTTATTTTTAATTTTTATTTTTTTCTAATATATTTTATTGATTTTTTTTTTTTTTTTTTTTTTTTTACAGAAAGGAAGGGAGAGGGATAGAGTTAAAAATATCGATGAGAGAGAAACATCGATCGGCTGCCTCCTGCACACCCCCTACTGGGGATGTGACCGCAACCAAGGTACATGCCCTTGACTGGAATTGAACCCGCGACCTTTCAGTCTGCAGGCTGATGCTCTATCCACTGAGCCAAACCGGTTAGGGCAGGAAGAAAGCATGTTAACTGCCCAGTTTAGAGGCTGAAGCTGGATTTTCTTGACCCAGTTTTTAGAGGCCCTCTACACAGAACAGAGGAACCTAGGCCACCGGAGGATTATTTTATTTTCTCCGAAATAAGCTTCTGGGAATAGCAAGACCAGTAAATGCCTTCTGTGAAGGGTTGGAGAAGACACCAGAACTGAGTTTTATTCCTTGGGGCATAGGGATATCTCCAGCACTCACCTCCCAGGTTCAAAGACACACTTCCATCCCTACCTGGCATGGGACCTTGTCCTTCTATTGCCTTGAAGAGGGAGCTAGCTCTAGCTGTTCACCAGAGCACTGCCAATCAAGAGTGGATCAGACCTTCTCCTACCTACTTCCCCGTTGACCATAGACCAGTGGAGCAGCCACCTGCAGCGAGCAGCTGGGCTGGGAAGAAGCTCCAAGGTCTTGGTTGGCCATGCTCTCTTTCAGATCCTTAAGATGCTAGCCTGGGCTTGGGGAGCGAATGCCCCTGGAGAAATTGAGTCCCATCCTTTCTTAAGAACACATACTCCTTTTAAGGACCCGTCCCACCTCTCCCAACCATATAAGGGCGGCTTTGGTTATAATAGCTTCTGCCAAACAAGCCCCACCCAGAGCCAAGCTGGCTTTGACTTTGGCCTGGGCGTCTTGCCAGGGAAGGGCACCTGCCAGACTGGCTTAGGCCAGTCTGAATGAGCTGGCCCTTGATGCTTGCATTTCTATGGTGGAGGAAATTTGCTCAGCTTCACAAAGCCTACATACAGGCTGGCCTGTTCAATAGGGAGAGGAGAAATGTCTGGAAGCTTTTTAAAAATTCATTCTCTCTTAGGGGCAGGCGAGGTGACTATCTCTGACCCACATGGATCTTCGAGTTGAAAGGAGGGGACAGCAAAACTAAGGGGGAATGGTTGGAGTCCAAACAACCACACGTGTTAGACAAACCTTGAGTGAAATAGCTCGCGGGAGCGCCCAAACCTCACCTCTATGGAAATCTGAGCCGGGGCCGGTGGGCGTGCCCTGAAACCTTTAAGCCACGCCCACCCATCGCGCTTCCGCCCACTGGTTGGCGGACGGCGCCTTGGGGGCGTGTCCTACCGCCAGGCCCCGCCCCCGACGCACCTATACAAGGGGGGGCGGTCCCGCGCGCGCCCGCCCAGTCGGCGCCGGACCGCAGTGCCGCGGGCGTAGCGCGGCGACCCCCTTCCCCCTCACGAAGAAGAAGAAGATGAATGGGACGCGGGGCTGGGGTGCCCTGGTGGACGTGCGCCCGGAGGAGCCGACCGCGGTAAGCCAAAGCGGCCTCGCCGTCCGCTCAGCTCGGTTCCATTTGGCTTCCGACGCCGCCGCTCCCGCGCCCCGCGGCGTGTGCGCTGACATCACCGGGCGCCGCGCTCGGGGCTCGGTCAGCTCCTCGCCGCGGCTCCCTCTCTCCTCCCGCCCCGCGGCGGGCAGTGGGACTCCCGGGAAGTGGCGGGATGGAGGCTCTCCGGAGGCTCGAGGGCTCCGGGAGGTCCTGCCCTTGGGGAGGACACTGCGGCTCCTGCCCGGGTCTCCGGGGCGCGCTGCTCAGGCGTCCGGTCGGGGTCGGCGGTGGATCGGGTTGTAGGAGAAGGAGATCCAGGGACCGGATGGATGATCCCTGTGCTCTTTTGGACTTTAAGGGGGTTTTGGCTTTTCTGCGGATCCTAGTGGCTTGGGCGGCCCTTCAGAGAACTTTTCGGTGCTTCGGGTGATCGGTAACAGAGGGTAGAGAGTGACATCCTAGAAGCTTAGCTGGAGGGTGGGGGCCTGCAGGGCTCCAGGTGCGCCCGAGGGAGGCCAGGAACTGGATAGCACTGGCCGTTTCTGGGGGGTCATCTCTCTGCTGGGGTTTCTTTCCCTCCCCCTCCCCCGCCGGCAGTGTTTCTGCTCCCTTCCCCCAATCGGCCAACCGATAGCTTCCTGGGGGCGGTTTATTGGTTATGCTTCCTTCTCCTGCATCCTCGCCCAGGGCGAGGAGAGGCCGGAACCTGGGGTGAGAAGGGAAGGGGAGGGTTTCTGTACGGCCTGAGGGTGGGGGAGAGAAGGGAGTTCTCCAAGGCTAACCGATCTGCCCTGCTCCCCTCATTCCCCGGCTCCCTGTCCCCTCCCTACCCCGGGCTGACCATATGGTTTTTTCCCCTCCGAGAGGCAGAGGAAGGTAACTCACTGGTGGCTGAGGGTGCCTAGGCTCTCTCTGCTGGGGAACTTAATCCGGAATAGGTGTGTACTATTTCATCGATTTCCAGGCTATTGTGGGCGAGAGTGAAATGGGAGCCAACCTCATGGGGAGTGTGTATCCCTTCTCTTCTCCCCTCCCGTCCCCCCCCACCCCCCCTGCACTCTGTATCTAATTCCCTTCCCCTCTTCCTGTCTCAGCAAGCTCCTGAGGTAGCTAGCTAGCTAACCCAGCTGCTCCCGGATTGGCTCTCCTTCAAAGAATGTTTTTTAGGAACTGTTGCTCATTTCAAGGTAGGGTAGAGAGGATCACTGTGCACAGGCCCTGTCCGTTTCTGCCCAGGCTTTGTTTCTACCACTTTACCCTGCAGATCTTGCTGCTGCTGCACCCTAGTGTCTCCCCCCACCCCCACCCCCCCTCCCCCGTCCCCCATCCCTAGTCTCTGTAGCCTGCCACTCCCCAGGTATGGGGTGCTGCAGAAATTGAAAAAATTCATTTCCCGTTGTGTCTCAGCCCCAAGTCCCACACCATGCTTGCTCTTGCTCACTGTTTTGGTATGGCTGAGGCAGCCCCATGGGCATGAGGAAGATAAAGGAGAGGGGTGTTTGCGCCTCATTTTGCTTGCTGTAGACTAGATCCAGAAAAGTTGAGGATGTGTTGAGAATGAATTGACACCCTCTTCCACCCCTTGATGTAGGGTAGGGCAGCACACCGGTAGGAAAATGATGCACAAAGAATTCTAACCACAGTTTGAAGCTAACCAGAGACCTCCAGAGCCAGGGGGAGACAGAAGGTCACTTTTAGTCCTTCTTTCTAGGTCGGAGTTGGGAGTTATTTACTTCAAAGCTGGAAATGAAATAATCATTGCCTTAGATCTGATCTTGGAGACATTCCTGAGCTCTTAAGCAGGAGGGGATGATAAACATGTGCTCCATCATGGTCACAGGCTTTGTCCTGAATGCCTCTCCTCTGAGCGAGCCTGCTGATAGAATTTATGGGTCCGGACAGCCCCCAGGAACTGTCATGTATGCACCCCTCTGAGCGAGTGCTCAGGGCATGAGCAAAGGAGTGAGTCAGCAGTGTGGACAGTTTAGCCAGTCGGTGTGCCCTGGTGAGAGGACCCTGGGACTCTTCTCAGCGATTCCCCACCAGCCAGGCCATGTGCCTCAGTGTGCCGCACACGGACATGGGAATATGGCTCCTCTGCTCTCTGGGCTGCTTCTAATTGTTGGTGGTAGAAGCAGCCGATATAAGGAGCCAGTGTGTTTCAAACTGCAGACCTTAACCACTGGAAGGTCTGATATCAACTTAGTGGGCTAGAACCAGTATTAGAAAAGAAATAGATCCCAACTATATGACATTATAGCAAAGACAAAAACTATGGAGACAATAAAAATGATCAGTAGTTTCCAGGGGTTTTGGAGGGTGAAGGGATGATTAATGGATAGAGCACAGATGAGTTTTTTAGGGTAGTGAAAAAGCTCTGTATGATATAATGATGGATGTATATCCTTATACTTTTGCCTGAACCTGTAGAATCCATAACACCATTTACTTCATTAAAGTGAACCCTAAGGTGAAATATCAATTTTGGGTGGTTGTGATGTATCAATGTAGGCTCATCCTTGGTTAAAAAAAAAAAAAAGTAGGTATATAGAAATCTTTGTACCTTCCCATTGATTTTGTTTTAAACCTTAAAACTGCTCTAAAAAAATTGTCTTAAAAAAGGAAATAGAATGAACACTCTCAGAGTGTTAGGATAGACATTTTTGGCAAACATTTTGTTTCAGTTATATATATGTGTGTGTGTGTGTGTGTATTGGCTTGTGAGGTAAAATGTATTTTTTAGGTCAAAAGTTGGTAAACAACTGTAGTAAGTTACGTTGGCAAATGAAAGCACAAATCCACCTCACACATTAGACATTCCCATTAAATTTCGTTGGCTATAAGCAGCAGAGTGACTCCACCTAACTTAAGCAGGAGAGGAATTTATTAGAAGGAAATGGGTAACTCCAAAAATGTAAGGGGAAGCTTACAAAGTCAACCCAGGGAGTCCCCGGGGCCTGTGTCGCTGGTAGAAGGAGCTAATGGAGAGTTATCACTTCCAGGTGGATCGGTTCCAGCTGTGTTAGGTATTTCTGCCATTCTGCCCAAGAGTCCAGGAAGAGGGTGCCATTGGCCCATGACCTCCTTGGCTAGGGCACGGGGTTCCTTGATGACAGGCCCATCCTTGACTGACGGGAGGGAGATTCTCCAAAGCAAAACCCAAGTGCTTCTACCACTGGAAGACGGAAGTTGTGTGGCAAAAGCAGCAAGTGCTCACTGCATTAGACTATGGCTGGCCTATCTCTGATTTTCTTTTTCTTTTAAAATAATTTTTCAGCAATGGTTGGATGTCATCCCATGCGTCCAAAGATTGTGGTTTGAGTCCCCCCTGTCCAGGGCACATGCCCAGGTTGCCGGCCTCATCCCCACAGGGGACCTGCAGGAGGCAGCTGATGTTTCTCTCTTTCCCTCTCCCTTCCCCGCTGTCTAAAAATCAATTTAAAAAAATCTTAAAAAGATAAAATCTTTTTTCCCAAGGAAAAAATATGCATGATTTTTAAAAGACCTAATGATAGCAAAAGGCTTTTATTTATTTATTTATTTATTTATTTTAAAATATATTTTATTGATTTTATACAGAGAGGAAGGGAGAGAGATAGAGAGTTAGAAACATCGATGAGAGAGAGTCATCGATCAGCTGCCTCTTGCACACCCCCTACTGGGGATATGCCCGCAACCAAGGTACATGCCCTTGCCCGGAATCGAACTCGGGACTTTTCAGTCCCCAAGCCGACGCTCTATCCATTGAGCCAAACCAGTCCCAGCGATAGCAAAAGGCTTTTAAAAGAAAATAGCAAGGCCCTGGCTGGTTTAGCTCAGTGGTTTGGCTCGTAAGACTGCCACCCAGAGAGATCAGAGGTTCGATTCCTGGTCAAAGGCACTTACCTGGGTTGCAGGTTTCAGCCCCAGCCCCAGCTCCGGTCCACATATCTCTCTTACATCGATGTTTCTCCCTCCCCCTTCCCCTCTCCCTCCCCTTCTCCATTACCCTCTCCCTCTCATTCCATTCTTTCTAAAAAATAAAAAATAAAAATAAAAAATAAGGAAAAAGGAAAAATATCCCTCGGGTGAGGATTAACAACAACAAAAAGAAAAATAGCAAGTAGTTCCCTGCCTCAAGTCCTCTCCACTTTCAACTCTTTTGTCTGGTGTTTACCACATTTTCTAAATAATATGTTTATAGGAATGCTTTTTGGTCTGTTAGTTTTAGACATCTATTGAATACCTGCTGCGGGAATTACAGGAAAGTTTATACTCCCACCTCTTACACCCTCTCTTTTTCTTCTCCGATTCTCTTAAGGTAATTGCATCACAGTCTTTGGCTACACTATGATTTTTGTGATTTCTGTTCATAGCATGTGGTTAAGAGCCTGGTTTTGGGAATCTGACCTAGTGGGCTATCAGGGAGATTCAATATTTGTTTTGCTCAAGATCACTTCGGTAAATTACTTCGTCTCTTCAGTCTCATTTCCCTCATCGGTAAAACGGGGATAATAATTGCACCCTTCTCATAAGGTTGTAAGGATTAAATAAGGTCCATAGGAAGCCACAGTGTGCGGCACATGGCAGATGCTCCGATATTAGTTTTATTTTCTGTTTGCTACTCCCTGGCTTAGACTAAGACTGTTGTTTCTCCCCAGAGACCCTTGGCCAAGACACAGAGGAATGGCCTGGTCTGGTCAGTGTTCTGTCCTTCTCCTTATGTTTGTTCTTATCTGTTCCGTCCCCTTTCCTCTGCCTGTGGAGGAAGGAGACACCTGAAGATAGGAAGTGGCCTATAGGTAGACCCAGGGTGACCTCTGCTAGTCCCAGCTCAGCCAGGACTGGCTTAGACAGAGTGATGGTCAAGGTTCACATTTTGGCACCCCCTCTGTGCCTCTTTCCTGATCCATGGGCAAGGTAGCTGGTGTCGATGATGGACTCTGTGATGAGGTGATTCCCTTTGAATAATCTGTCAGAGTTGCCCTTCCTGAGATATTTGC